AAAAAAAAAAAAAAGTATCATAGGTGTTGAGATGATGGAGCAGTTAATCCTCTCTATGGAGAAATCTATGAATGGAAGGCAGTTGCTGAGCCTTGTTTTGAAAGATAGATATTCAGTGGGTGAGTAGGAATGCAAAGGACATTTTGGACAGAAGGAGAAATACAGGCCATGTCACCATGGTGTCTACCCCAGAATACAATGTCTTGTCCCTGGAAAATAGAGCTCTTACTTGGGAAGAATTGGCTCTGTTCATATTGGTTGAAATTGTGTTAGGACAGATGATGTAAAATGTTGATTAATGTAGGTAGATACTCTTCAAGACAAGAACATATATGCTTCTAGTCTTACCAGCTTTCTTTATTCCCCTTCTTTGTTTTAAAAACTGTACTTTAAAATCTTGATTTATTCTTTTCCTTTCATTGCTATTGTTTTTAAATGAAGTCAAATGATTTCAATCTGGAATGCAAAGTTCTCTTGTAGGTTGGATTTTTTTTTTTTTTTTTGCAAAAATATGGTAGGCAGATGTTGTCATGGAATGATTTTAGGCCTTGTGAAGGATTTGTTCAGGACAGTCCTTTCCTTCAATCAGGTGTCATCTTGCCTGGAGTCCCAGCCCACTCTAGGGAAATCCTGCTCGGCAGTCTGAAGTCAGGCTTTGGGATTTGGGCTCTGGGTGTTGATAATATCCCAGGAGGCTTTACTGAGGGCCCATTAGAAACATGCAGAGGCAGGAGCCGGCATCTGGTCATGATTAATCCTCTCAACACCCTGGCCTAATGCGGACTGGCCTTGGGTTCCAGCCAGCTACTCCCAAGAAAAGCCAGCCCACTCTCTCATGCTTGTTTCATGTTTTGCAGAGGCTAGTTCTTTGCTTAGGCTTCCTTACTCTCCCTTCTGTGTTCATTGGAACTTCAGAGGTAAAGGGACCTTACAAAAAAATTAGCCAAAAGAGGTGGATTAAGCCATACAACGTCACCAGTAATCATCGTAGAGGTAGTACCCGGGCACCATTGACTACAACAGGTGCTGAAATATAAGGTCACTAGATGCCCTGGAAATTGTGGATATACTTCAGTGGGCATATGGAATATCCTACAAAAATATATGACTGCCCCCATTACAAAGAATTATCTGGTCCAAATGTGCAGCTGTGGAGAAGCTGTGGTGTAAATATTTTTAAGAGGTGAGAATCTGTAGCCTTTATTAGATTCTCAAAGGAATCTAAGAGTCCATAAAAGTCAAGAATCCCTAGCAAAATAGTTGGAAACATGGCCTTCACAGTGACCCAGTCCTAGTTCAAATCTGCTTTAGAATTGTGACTTGTAACAATGCATTTAACTGACCTAATTCTTGGTTTCTTTTTTATAAAATGAGGGCAACAGTCCCCAATGTACAGGATTGTTGTAAAGATTAAATCATCTAGTGCACATAATGGGCTTAGCACAATGACTACCCAAAGAAGAAACTCATTAAATAATTATTGTCATTAATAATTGTAATGTCTTTAATCATCTCTAGAACTCTGATCTTAGAAGCAACATAGCATAACAGGTACATGTCTGACTCAGAGACAAGGACACCTAGCCATGCCAATAACCTTTGACAAATCATTTTATCTCTTTGACTCTCCATTTCTACATCTCTTAAATAGTGGAGAGTAGTATTTCTCTCACAGGATTGTCGTGAGAAAAAAATGAGAGAGCATATACAAAACATTTGCATAAAGACTGGCCTATGTTAGGTGCTTAGTAAAAGGGAGACGGTAATTCTCAAACATCTTGTCTCCTGGGCCACTCATCCTATTGCATTAGAACTGGGTTAGGGCTGATGAGATTTGAAGCAATCCCAGGACATGGAGAAGACCTAAATCTTGTACCAGTTTTTATTTGTCCTTAGGTGTCCTAAGGAAGTTACTTTTTATCTTTACTCTGTTCTCCTTCCTCTTTGGGGAACTTCCTTTACTCCCTTCTGCTTGAGGATGGATAGAGTTGGTTATGGGGTTGACCAGAGATGAAGAGTATAGTTGCCAGAGGTGAGGAGTCTTGTTAGTTAGGGGCCTGATGGCAGTAAAATAGGAAGGAAAGTGTCTTAGTCTGCTTGGGCTGCTTCAGCAGACTGCCATAATGGGGTGGCTTATAGAAAACAAGTTTATTTTTCCCAGTTGTGGAGGCTGAAGTCTAACATCAAGGCGCCAGCAGATACAGTGTCTGGTGAGGGCCCATTTCAGATTGATAGATAGCCATCTGCTTTCTGTACCCTCACATGGCAGAGGGGGTGAGGAATCTCTCTCAGGCCTGTTTTATATGGGCACTAATCCCATTTATGAAGGTTCCCTCCTAATAACCTCACATATTTGAAACATATGTATTTGGAAGAGGGGTGGGGGAGGAGGGACACAAGCATTCAGTCTATAGCAGAAAGGGATTTTTTTTCTTTAACAGACACAAGCATGACCCAAATTACAATGAAATAAATATTCTAAAATTATTGAGTTTTATCCCCAGATAGTTGAAATCACTTCTATAAAATGAGTTGGTGAGAGTTAGCATTCTCATGTCTAAGTATGCACTTAAACATAGTATTAAAATAAAAAGATAAAACCATAAAAAAGTGCTTTTCTTGGTCAAAATTATCCCAAAGCATACACAATGGGCATATACAATTGTGAAGGATATTTAATGAGTCCGAGTTAGAGATATTTAATGAGCTTCCCATTGAATCACTTTCATTTTTGATCAAGCCCAGACATGGGTATGCATTTATGTCCTTATGGCTAGAGAGGTGAACAAATTGTCTCCTGCTTCTGCAGAAGAAGACAGTTGTCCTGCCATCCCCCAGCACAAGCACCAGTCACCATATCTTCTGCCATCTGACTCTGGATTTTGTATCAGGCTCTCTTCCAGGAGACATCTGGTGACATATTGTCCTCGCCGGTTTGGAATGTTTCTTTCTTGAAGCGTTACTTCTTTAGGAACTAGTCACCATCATCTATGTAGCAGAGAGAATGGTTAGGAATGGAGAATGCTAAGAAGCCAGGACTTGGGCTCTTCTGATCTAGCTCTGACCCTAACTAGCTGAGCAAGTCCCAGCCCATGGGGAAGTGCCTTCTCTTAAGATGAGTTCAACGAATGGCTTTGCATCCTCTTTGAGCATCACATTATTTATCTGTACAGAAGAGGTTGGACAAGATGATCTCAAAGGACCTATCAAGCTCTAAGTTCTGTGATTCTATTCTAAATGTTAGGACAACATGGCACTTTCTGGCATCACCATTAATGAAATTACCCATCATTTATCTTATACAGAAAAAGCACACACCAAGAGCAACAGACCAGCCAAGCCTGAAAATGAGAGTGTGTGGATTTTTATCATGCCCACAGCTCTCCAGTGATGCTTGTGATAAATGTGTATGTCTTCCAAAAAAAAATCCCAGCTGCCCCAGGGTGACCTGACCTGCCTTTTTGTTTGGGACTTGGATACAGCAAACATGTTCTACTTCAATGTAGTGCTCTGTGTGCTTGAGAGTTCGAATGTAGCTAGAAATGAAAGTTTGTGCTTAGTACCTGTTCGTAAGAGATTATTTTATCAAAAAAAAGTCCTTATATCTCCTTATCTCTTATTTACCTCTTCACTTAGACCTTGCCCCATACTTTACAGACAAGGTTCACATGAGGTTACCAGGTGGAATCTCACTCAGATTTTATTTCCTCCATCCTAGAGATACCCATAAAGCTTCAATCTTTATCTTTCTTCATATCATAGAGGAAGAGGTGTTCTGCCAAGACTAAGTCTCTGCAAATCCAATGCTAGACCTCATTTCCTGTTAACAGGGCGAGGATCTTGATCCAACTCTTCTGCTTCCTCCTCCTCTTTAAAAATCTTACATCTGATTTTTAGTGACCCTCCCAGCCTCCTTCTCAAGACTCAATCCATTAGTCCTCCTTCCACTAAAGGCCAAAATAAACCAGAATGATTTCTCGAGTTGTGTCTCACTTCACATGACTAAACCATTAAGGTTGTTTTTGTTTTACCCTGTTCTGTGTAACCTTAACCTCAGTCTTTCTGTGCCCCACTCAAAATTAGATCATAGAAATGGAGAGATTTCTTTCTTGTTTGGCCTTTCCTGTAAATCTCATTTCCAGATTTGTTCCAAATTAGGGTAAAGGTTAAGTGGAGTGGGAAAACAAGAGGAAGGGAGGGGACATCATGCTCTGTGGAGGCAGTCCACTCAGACGTTTTCCAGCTCTGATCGAACGCTCTTCTGGATCGATCTCGTCGCCTTGACATCCCACTTTCTTCATTCAGGAGCATATGGTCCTTTGGGCAGCCTCTGCAAGCCCACGCGCCCTCACCAGCAGGTGGCACGTGCAGTGCGTCTCCATCACGGCATTAGCTCTCCAGAGCAGCTTTCACCACTCACCCTTTCCCCTGCTGTCAGCGGAAGAACTTCCTCTGACCATCTGCTACCGAATTAGTCAAAGTTTATCAACTTGTCTGCAGGATTTCTCTCCCAAAGCTGCACAGTTGGTCCTATTGTTCATTGTATGCCTGGTTTTCTCATTTCTTAGGGAAGTTTTACTCTTTTGTATTTTATTCTCTTAACTTGAACATGGATCCCAGATATTTACTCCTGTAAAAGCTCTTCAGTATTTTCCTTTCCTATTTTAGAGTTGTACAACTGTAGTCTAGAGATCAAATAACAAAGAGAATTCTAGTAGGGAGACTGAAGAGCCAAAGTGCATGATATCAGAACTGGGGTCATTGTGTCTCTGGTTTGCTTTTGTGACCTGGGCAAGTTGCAGCCCTTCCCTGCCTCAGTTTCCTTATCTGTAATGTGAATAAAAGCATTGTTCTAGTTCTTGAGTTCTGTGAGAATTACTAGAGATGATTCATGGAGGAATTCTCCAGGAAGGTAACTTGTCATACAAACCTCCCGGTATTTTGGTTAAGATTATTAGCTGCAGTGGCATCATAACATTACTTTTTAAAAAAAAAAAAAAAAAGATTTTATTTATGTATTTGAGAGAGAGCGAGCACGAGCGGAGGTAGGGGCAGAGAGAGAGGGAGAAAGAAGCAGGCTTCCCGCAGAGCAGGGAGCCCGATGTGGGGCTCGATTCCAGGGCCCCGGGATCATGACCCAAGCCAAAGGCAGATGCTTAACCACTGAGCCCCCCAGACGCCCCTACATCATAACATTCCTAAAACTGCGCCTGTGCCTCGTAGTGAGAACTTTCTACCCTAGTGTGAAAACAGGTCTAAGGCATGTCCCTAATCTGACTGTCAGTATTTTGAAGATTTTTCCCTCAAGGCTGCCTGTGGGGGAGAGGCACTGTGGTCCCCCCCCAAGTTCTTTTGTTGGCAGAGATGGCACCCTAGTCTCTAGCTTGTGTGATGCTTCTGGCTGAAGATGACTAGTGTCTAGAAGTGATTCAGACTGGAGTCCAGGCTGCCGATCCACATGTTGAGCTTCTGTGCACTTTGTAGTATGTGGTTTCCTGAAGATTCTGGGTAAAAGTACTCATCTGTCAGAGCCTCCTTGCAAAAAAAGCTTGACCGTCTCCTTTGTCGCGCTTTTTTTGCCAGAAGACATCATAGCAAATTGGTCCCTCACCGCACACCTCTGTGTTCTTTTGCAGACTAGCAGACTAGCTACTAGCTACAACTTTTTGGTTGTATTAGGGAAAATTACATGAGTTTTTTTGTTTTTTGTTTTTTGTTTTTCAGCACAGTTCAACAGAGCTAGCGGTGAGATCTAGGAGACACATTACCACAGTCAAGCATGCAACATTTAAGCATAATGTCTCTCTGTGCCTGCAAATGCAAGCCCTTGTTTCAAGTGATGTGACTACTTCCTTTTGTTTCCAAACCCCCTTTCCATGAGCCAGTATGGTCCCTGCCAGAGAAAATGGCAGAATCAGGCTAGGTTAGCATGCTTGCCAAAGATTTAGGTAAGAGATATTATACAAATGTCTAAATTATTGCAGCTTGGGACTCTGAGATTTCAAAAACATACTTTCACACTGTTCATTATTGTTAGTATTTGTGACTATTTGATAAGCTCCAGAACCTTGTTCTGCCATAGAAAATAAATCATTCCTAATGGCTGGGTTGTTTTTTTTTTCTTTTTAAACTTGAACTTTTTCTGAAACAGCCATCCATCATCACCATACTTTTCTCTATTTAATACTGTTTTTCTTCCCTCTGCCCTAGGATGGTCGTCTACGGATGAATGACCAGCTGATTGCCGTTAATGGGGAATCTCTTTTGGGAAAGTCCAACCATGAAGCTATGGAGACACTGAGGCGATCAATGTCCATGGAAGGAAATATTCGAGGGATGATCCAGTTGGTGATTCTGCGGAGACCAGAGAGACCACTGGAGGTGATGCATATCTTTAGTTCCCTCAGCAAATTGCCCAAATGGCCACCTAGAATATGCAAATTTCTGTCCCTTAGTATCATACTTACTCTGAAATTTTGGAAAAATATGCCCCAGAAGGGCTCTGATGGATTTATGCGGCAAACACATGGTTGTATATTATAGGTGTAACTAGAAGGTATAAGAATGTGTATATAAAGGAAGAATTTTTCAAATGTAACAGGTCCATATTTTCCAGTTTTTTTTTCCCCCAGAAATTTCTAGAGCTTTGGCTTCATTCATATAATAAACTATTAAACTATGTAGCATCTTTATATACTTTTTGATTGAGGTGCTTATAGTGTCCATACTTTAGAAAGTTCTTAATCAGATGTATACAGCGCTTAATGTGAAGATTGTTATAATGCAGTACATTTTCCCCCAAAATGTTCACATGGATAATACAGACCTGGAACTTAACTAATTTAAAATTTGGTCTGTTAAGCAAGCTGCTTGCTTCATGTTATTAAATAAATGTTTTTTAATTAAATAAGTATTTTTACAGTATTTTATCATGATTTTTTAGGGATTTTTTTTTTAACGTAAGAAGTATTTCTGCCTACCCATCAAGTGTAAGCATAAAATATTCTTGAATGCTGATATCCCTAAACATTTCACTTACATACAACTATACTACATTTATATTACACAATTATATTATTAAATTATACAAGTATATTAATATATTTATAATATAAAATATTCCTAAAACATTATTTTCTCTTATATATGAAAAATAATTATTAAATGCTCCTAAAAATATTTTAAGAAAAGATAAGAAGAAAACAGTTGATCATAGTTAAGAAAAACATGGGCACATTACACAAATATTCTCTGAGGACAAGTAATGTTTGTGTAATACAGTAAAAGGCAGTTAACATAGAATACTGTTAATAACACACTAACATGAAATATTAGTTTTAATAATATGTTCAACTTAAAAATAAAAAAAGAGAGGATTTTTCAAATTAAACAATAGTAGAAGGTAGTTGAAATTCATAGTAGTTAAAAGCTTAGGCTCTAAAGTTTTGGATTACTTGAGTAAAAGTCCCAGATTGTCCATTTTCTGGCTATATGAAGACATAACTGGGTGCTCAGTACTTGCAGATGACAGATACTGTTGTCTGTTTTATCCCTTAATGTATCCTCATTTCCCAGCACACAGTAGACACTTAATAAATACTGTCGAATGAATGAATAAAAGATGCATCTGAGACCTACTTTATCTGAGAGGGTCAGCTGAAGTAGTAAACTTATAAACTATATCTCACTTCGTTACATTATCAGCTATTGGAAGAGAGTAACTGTACCTTTTTACTCTTCTGTACATAACCTTGTAAATGTTAAATAAATGTAAATTGGCCAATTACTGGAGACTATATATAATGAGCCAACTCGTTTTCAACATTTGTGTCTGCTTAAGTGACAGAGAGGCTTCCATGAATATTTAATGGATTTTACTTATGTACATAGTTATAAAACCCTTATCTGTTCCTTCCATCCATGATGGAATTGGCTCCTTTCTGGTTTAATTTGATTCTTACTCTAGAGCCTTGGGATTCATGGTACCCAGTTGGATGGGATAGGTGTGAAGGATGGCCCGTGGGCCCCTAAGCCTCCCCTCTGTGCATTTGTGTATTATGTCTCCCTTAAGATTTCTTGGAACAAAGACATTTCAACTAAGAGAAAAGTCTGGACGGCACTGCTATAGAGTCCCACACCTGTTGCAAATAGCAAAAGTTAAGGGATAAAGAAAAGAAAGGAAGAAAAAACGAACACGGTTGTTAGGCATTTTATGTCTGCTACCCCTCCCCTTTCCTAATTTCATGTCTTTCTCTAAAACAGGCGTATGCCTGGTGGGTAAACATTCTGTATTTGGGCTCATCTAGTAGAGACGTTTTATCATTTACATTCTTCTTCATTGCACATATTTCCACTCTCCAACTCTGAGGTGGGTTGACAATTAATCCATCAGAAGAAAGTACTAAACTTTTGGTTTGTTGCCCATCTTCAGAAGCGTTTTATTAATACAGTTATTAGTTTTATTAATACAGTTCACTAGGAAATTAATTGGGAATTAAGAAATGGGACAAAAAGCAATTTTGATGAGGACATTTAAACAAGGTCCCTTTTTAGTTTCCCTAATATTTACATGCTTTCCATGGGGAATGAGCAGGCACTTGATGCTCTCAGTTATCGGGAATCTCTGTGGTACCCACGAAGATTAAAGAGCGTTTTTGTCTTATGAAGACAGCAGCCTCTAATGTACAACTAATCTTTATTAAATTGGAAAAAAAAACAAAAACAAAAAAACCCATCTGCAGGTATATGATCTCCCAGTTCTGTGTTTGACTGTGTCAAAGCGTATGTGGTGCACTCCTGCTTGTGGTGTCTTCTCCTGTGGGGCCGCAGTCACCCTCAGGTACAATAAAAAGGCAGCGTCACCGAGAAAAAGGTCCCAGCACTGCTCCTACATGCAGGCAAATCAACTAGTTAGATTTGGCAAGAATACTAAAATGGTTACTTAAACATTATATTGATATAAAAAAAATTGAAGAAGCTACTTAAGAAAAGTCAAAATATATAGTTGTTGGAGTATTTTCCCACATTACCCAGATGTACAAGATACGTAAACAGTTTTGATGAGGACCTCGTGAAGAATACATAATGAGTCCTTGATGGAATCAAAATCATTTTAAACAGAACCATGTTTTTCAAAGGATGAGCTTGAGGTTCAATTGTAATTCTATTTGAGCCTAGAGACTTAGTATTAAAAAATGGGTTATGACCTGTTTTTTCCCCCCTTCCCCAAAACATTTCCCTCCCCGCTACAAGCTCATCTTGGTAGAAGCAGAATATGTTTAAAAATCCATTATATTTTTTATTGGCTGGGACACTAATGGAGGGCTCCACGACAGCCCTGTTTTTACAGGCTGAATACTTTAATTAGGCTGGTTACTGATCAGTTGTTGGGATATCGATTGTGTCATTTATCAAAGAGCTGGGAAAGAGGATTTTTTTTTTTTTTGTTCTTGTTGTTGTTGTTAAAGCACAAGGCTATGTGCAGTCAGTCCTACCTCTCCTGCCTGCTGGGGCTCTGGCTTTAATTTAGGAGTAGTTTGCTGATTCTGGTTTGACTAGCAGCACAGAGGCAGAGGGTAACACTGCGTGTGGGCAAAGTGTTATAAGCCTCGACAAGAAGCCAGGAGACCTTCAGCAGCTGAAAATATTTTAATTATTAAGAATGCATAAATTGAATGTTTTAAATATTTTGTTTAGCAGGATACCAAGTTTGTGGAACTGAAAGGAAAGTATAATAAAATTGTTTGGGCCAAATGCTTTGCTCCGAAGTGAAGAGCTTTTGGAGATCAGATCTGTGTTCTGTATGTGGCCTGTTCCTCTCACAGATGGTCAAGGGGGGGCGCCTGGGTGGCTCAGTCACTTGTGTGGCTGCCTTGGGCTCAGGTCATGGTCCCAGGGTCCTGGGATGGAGCCCCACATTGGGTTCCTTGCTCAGCGGGGAGCCTGCTTCTCCCTCTGCCTCTGCCTGCCACTCCCCAGCTTGTGCTCTCTCTTTCTCTGTCAAACAAATAAATAAATAAATCTTTAAAAAAACAAAACAAAACAAAAACAAATGGTCAGGGGCACAATGGTGAGATGGCTTCCACATGACTTCCTTGAAATCTGTTAGAAAGACACACAGTCTAAGCAAGAGCAGCCCCCAGTTGTGTGCCTCAGTCCTCTTGAACAAACACCTGGAGCCCTCTGAAACTGGCCCCCCGCCGCTCCCTCTTCACACCCCTGCAACATGCTTTGCGGGCCTGTTACTCTGGATACAGCCATTTTGAGGACACTATGAATTTGTCTGCAGGCTGTCAACATCCAAATAGGAGGGGAAAATACCAAAAAGTGGGCAAAAGCTCAGGAGGACCACTGTCTGTTATTGTCACAGAGTTTGTTTTAGCTTCTGGCCAACAGACCCAGTGTCTGCAGCAGGATACACTCATGGCATTTGAGTGGCAAACCTGCTTAGGTTCTGACTTGTCCTAGAGCATATGCACTTAGTCGCTGAGGGAGGGAGAGAGAGGAACCAGCTGGTTGGCAGAAAAACACCCTTGGCATGGACCGTTATTCTTGTGTTGACACTGTCACAAGCTGTACTCCCAGATGGAAGAAAATTTGAAAGAAGCCATTTGTAAGTGGGGGGAAAGAATAATAAAGTTAATCCTCTTTGGTGTTGGCTATGAGTACTCCCAATCCTTAGCACCACATTGTCAGTATTTTTTGTATTTCGTCTTCAAAGATCTTTTAACTGATAAGGCCATTTTGATTTTCCAGTTGAGTGTGTACATGCAGTAGACTTTTGGAAGATCATTCATAAATTGATCATTCTCCTACTTTGCTTTCATTGACCAAGTTCGAACATATTAAAAAAGCAAATGTAATTTTTATTTTTATCCCTTAGGAGCCTGCAGAGTGTGAGGCATTTTCTAAGCCATGCTTTGAGAATTGTCAAAACGCTATAACTACCTCCAGGAGAAATGATAATAGTTCATTGAATCCATTTGGCACTTACAGTTCACAAGACAAACAGAAAGGTAAGAGTCTGTCCATTTCCATCTACTGAAAATGGCGTGAGAAAACACAAGACTATCTTAAAAAAAAAAAAAAAGGACTAAGGGAAGTTAATTACACTAAGTGCAGGCTTTGTTACTCTGAGTCATGAACACGGAGAGATGATGGGTGGGAGAGCTGACTCAGAAGTTGTGAAGCAGATTCCTGGCATCGCCTCCAGTTTAAGTGACAGTTTCTATGCTTGCTGCCCCAAACACGGAGGATGATGTGTGAAATAAGCCAAACAAAAACAAAATGGCAGAATGGAGAAACAAAATGGCAAACTGTTATTTTTTTTTTTAACAATCTTTTAATTATTGGAAGTTACCAAATGTAAATAACTATTAAACTTAAAAAAAATGTATGGACTAGTATTAAACCATAAGATGGTCATAACATGATTCACAGATTCTAGAAGAGTGTGGTAAATACCATGAACCGAGACCATTGTGTAACAGTTGGAATGCTCTTATTATTCCCTTACTACATTGTCTTTCCCTTATTATCCTGTACTAGTGGTTGCATAGTAATCTGTTGAATGCAGGCACTATTTATGTAATTGATCCCTTATTTACATTTAAGATGTTACCAAAATTTAACTACATGGGAACAAGTTCTAAACTCTGAGAACTCCATCAGAACAGGCTTGTACCTCTCAGATTCCTCTAGAATTAAATTGTTTTATCAGAATGGGACGCCGTTTTTTCCCTCTGACTTAGTCCATTTTAGTGAGAGTAGCAGCAACAGCTGTGGCCATTTATTTATTAAGTGTTTACTGTCTGTTAGAGTCTGTGTTAAGCAATTTACATGCACACTGGAAGTGGATAATACTATTATCCTCATTTTACAGATGAAGAAATAGAGAGTAAATAATTAACCCAAGACCACATACTTGATCTGTGCAGAGCCTGGATTCAGCCCCTATCTCTCTGATTCAAGTTCACTCCTTAAACCACAGCACAGACCTTGTCTTACATTGGTCTCTTGAAACTGTTGAAGTCCTTTCACCTGATACCAAGAGTGTCATTAAAAGCTCACTTGACTTTGTATCAGATAAAAAAAAATACTCTGTCTTTTCTCGTCTTCTTTAAGAAATTAAAATTTGTCTTGACAAAGCGAGATCTCTTTCTGAGACCTTAAATCACAGTAGGAGGAGAATCTGGGGAAGGAACAGCAAGTTTTCCACAGACTAGAACAGCCTTCTCTCTACCGTGCCCATATAGTGATCAAGAATATCGCCATGTGTATTAAAATATCTAGGCTTTACATAATTTGATTGGCGTTTAATTCTCAAGCAACATGTGATACAGTGACAATCCAAGTTAAAGGTTTTATTCCTAATTATACCAGTGACATCCAAAGGAGTAGTGGGCATGTTATCCCCTATCTTGTTTCATTTTTTTTAAAGATTTTATTTTTTAAGTAATATCTACACCCAGCGTGGGCCTCGGACCCACAACCCTGCGATCAAGAGTCACACACTTCACCAACTACACCCACCAGATGCCCCTCATTTTTAATAACTATAAAATATTGACACTGGAGTGGTAATTACAAGGAGTATTTTTAGAGGACATCGAGATAGGGAAATGGGACAGTATCTCTAGAAGGGCCAACAAAGGCCAAAATAACGAAACTATAGAACTAGTTAAAATGTAAGGATATACCCAGAAAAAAAATTCAAGTAATAGAGTCCAGTCAAAGCACATGCTAAAAATAAAATGTCATAATTCTTTGAAACTTCAATAGAATGTTTTGAGTTTGTATTTCCACTGAACAGTTAGGTCCTTTGAGTACGTGTGGCCACAGACAACCACTGGGAGTCTCTGTCTGTTCTCTTCCTCTTGAGACTTACCTCCAGGTAGAACAACATTTTACACCAGTGAAAAACCGTGCAGGTCAGCTACCTACAAGGTTCCTGCTGTACTTCCTCCCCCCGTGTCAATTTTCCAAGGTGACAAAAAAATCCAGTTCTTTCAAGAAGGACTGCGCTGAACATTATTTTTCTTTAAAGCAGGAAAAATCTATTGCTGTTATTTCCTTGTAGATCTGTTATACAATATTCAGTTAAAGAATTAGGCCTACCAAGGTATAGACTCATTAAATTTTAATCGTAAGAGACCTGTAGATGAAATTCTCTTACTTTTATGTAAGCCTATTGACTTAGAGATAAGAATATATATAATAGAATTTGTAAACATGATGCTGGAGAAAAATATCATGATCATCATCTCTTTGTCATACTAAAAACATTTAAAATTTTGGGAACCATTGAGAGTTTCTGAGTTTCAGTTGCACATGAGGTAGCAAGAGGCCAGTAAGCCTCGTGAAACCTGAGTGTTGACTCAACATGACCAAGTTTTTTAAGGAGCCCCTTCAGAAAAGCAAGACTGAGTTGACAAAATGTAATGTCTAGTGTGGAAAGGAACTTTTACAGCCAAAACATTCACTTCTTTTTTCTTCCCTTTTTCCTTTCCTTTGTATATTTAAAAATCCAATGTTGATATGCTGGGTTCCTTCTCTTATTGTAATAATAGTACATACCACCCACAGTTCCTTGGTTATTTTTTTTATATATATACACATACTCCTGTCAAGCCGTAACAGGGAAAAGGCATTTTTAGAACTAACGTTTGTAGAAATTGTACCACCAGAAAATTCACATTTGTGTTGGAGAATTGCTAGCAATGCCTGCAGTAGAATGAGTGTGGTGCCCCAAATGGTAAGGGGTCAGGATGGGGGCTGTGTCCCAACAGTTTAGTTATAAAATCCTATTAAGCATTTAAATGGTAATAAAGAATATGAAATACCAGCACTGTATTTTCTGAAGAATTTTGCTGCTAGATCTCACCCGTGGCCAAGTAATGGTTAAGTAATAGTAATAAGCACCATTTGCCTCTGGTTTGTTATTTTAATTGCCTTTTAATTGCTCTCGTCTCCCCCTTCTGTGCTCTATTCCTGCTTCCCCTCCCCTCTCAATTCTACTGCACCCCAGCCCCATGTGTGAGTCACCCATTGCCCTAAGTCTGCTCAGGATCACCATCCAGGAAGGGCTCCTGGAGGACTTCCATCCCCACCCCAAATCAAACCCCTTCGGTTGTGTGTCCTGTCTCACTGGATCCATGTTCCCTGGGGTCCTTTGGGCAGACACATAATGTATAATTATTCCTAATGTGCCTTCTCTGGGGAAACAGCATGTGTCCACTCCTCTGTAGCACGTAAGGCATTCCCTCTGCAGTGGTGATCAGAAATTGAATTATTCTTTTCAATTTGCCTGATGTTTATTGGATACCTCCATTGTGTAGAATACACCATCAGGGTTTCAGAAAAGAATACAATGCTGTTATAGCCCTCAAGAATAGGCTTTAAAATTTTTTCTAATTAAAAAAAATAAAAAACAAGGGGTCATCAAATTTTATCTGTAAAGGGCCAGATAGGTTAGGCTTTGCAGGCCAGGGGATCTCAGTCTCAGGTCTTCAGCTCTGCCGCTGTAGTCCAAAAGCAGCCATGGACAGTAGGAAAAGAATGAGCATAACTGCTCAATGAAACTTTATGTACAAAACCGAATGGCGGGCTTGTTTTGGACCAGGGCCATAGCCCGCTGAGCCCTTGTCTAAAGTTGCAGTCCCTTTTCACTCTTCTTTTCTGATCTGACCCTAGCAGGATGGAGTCTGTAAAACAAGTAACAACAATAAAAAAAAAAAAAAAAAGATTAAAATAAGGGTTATTGGGTCATGAAGTAGTTACTTGAGGCTGCACTGTCAACATTCACAGGCATATATTATAGGATGACCATCAAAACTTAACCTTGTACATGTGATGAAATCCAGAAATACTATATTTTGGAGAAAAGAATTCCATATTTTCACACTGATAGAGGGTTAATAGAGGTGTTTGGGCCAAGAGAAAGAAAAATTACTTATAACATCTGAACATGTTTAAAAATATACCATGGATAGAGAGTCAACAAAGAAGATATTTGCCTCTGTACCTATAGACACTTAAAAATATGTAGATTGTTCATATGGATGAAATAAAAATTAAAGGTAACAGGTACCTGGGTGGCTCAGTTGGTTAAGCACCTAACTCTTGATTTTAGCTCAGGTCATGATCTTGGGGCCTTGGAATTGAGCCCCATGTCAGTCTCCCTGCTCAGTGAGGAGTCTGCTTGTCTCCTTCTCCCTCTGCCCCCCGCCCCCCAGTGCAATCTTTCTCTCTCTCTAAAAAAAATCTAAAGGTAACAATTGTAATAAAACTTGAAGAATCCAGAGAAGATGCTGAAGAAGAGGAGGGAGAGGAGAAAGAGGACAAGGAGGAGTTTCTCCATAGTCCAGTAAGAGAAATAGATATAGATACATAGATGATAGATTGATAGCTCATTGCAATAGCAGCATGTGATAAATGTTATAAATGGAGTAGTTTTCCATAATATTAATAGATAAACCCCAAATATCAGGGGATAAAGACGGTGAAAGTATTTTTCTTGTCTTATCACAGCCCAGTGAGGTGTGGTAGCAGGAGGATGGGAGCTGTGCTCCCTGCAGTGATGGAGGACCTGGGTTCCTTCCATTGGTAGCTGGGCCATTTTCTAGAGCCTCATCCCCTCCTCCTTGCAGCTGGAAGATGGGACAGGTGGAGAGAATGTACCCTTTCGTAACCACTGATACTGGGGATGTCAATGACCAGAGCAACTCACATGCTATTGGCAAGAACAAGTCTAGGGACAAAGAAGGCTGGGAAATGGGGTCTGTATGTGCAGGAAGAAAGGAGGGACACAGATAGAGTGAGCACTAGTATTCTCTACCACTGTTATAAAAATACTGAGGTGGATCTTGAGAGAAGGGTGGGACTTTGATGGTTGGGACTAGATTTTGCAGTTATGTAAGCAAACACACTGAGGCAAGAAGGCCCAGGCTTGTGGTTGGGGAACAGTAAGTAGTCTTGGGTAGCTAGTGTGTGATAAGGAGCTGACGTTGCCTGCCAGGGGTGTAGACCTTTATTCTCTAGGCTGTTGTGTGCAACTGAAATGTTTCTGAGAGGCCAAGGATACATGATCATGGCTGTGTTTATCACCAGTGTGAAAGATGGGCTAGGAAGTTGAGGGTAGAGAGATTAGAGCCAGTGGAAAATGTTGTCCCAATGTGTCCCTTGTCTCCAGTTTACAGTGTATCCTTCTATTTCTCTCAGCAAGTCTCTGGCTGCCTGATTGCCACTGTATTACCAACTCACTAGATCACTTGGGTGGGAGGCGGTGCAGGGGGACAGTGCTGACTGCCTTCGCTCACCACACTTCTGTACCCTGGTCACCCTGCCTATCAGAACTCCTGCGTCCAGCCTTCTACCCAGGGACATGTCAGCACTGCCAGAACTACCTCCATATCCTACTAGTCCCTGGAGCAGAGTGTGGAACAGGGTTCTCCATAGAAGAACCAATGGGATGCGTTTGTATTTATATGTATTTAATGTATAATAGACATTATATTATACATCGTATAACATATAATGTATAATATATAATATATATGACATATACGTAAGAACATATAATAACTGATATAATGAGACTTATTATAAGGAATTGGCTCACATGGTTATGGAGCCAGGCAAGTCCCAACAACTGCAAGGTGAATGAGCAAAGCTAAAGACCAAGCAGAGACAACGGTGTAGTCCTGCCCTGAAAGCCAGCAGACTCAAGACCCAGGAAGAGTCAGTATTTCTGTTTAAGTCCCAAGGGCAGGAAAAAGCTAGTGTCTCAGTTTGAAGACAGTCAGGAAGGAAGCATTCTCTCCTACTCAGAAGAACGTCAGCATTTTGGTCCTACTAAGGCCTTCAACTGATGGATGAGGTTCACCCACATTATGGGGGGACAATCTACTTTACTCTGTCTATTGATTTAAATGCTAAGCTCACCCAAAAAACAACCCCCCAGACACACCCAGAATAACGTATGATTAATTATCTGGGTACTTTGGGCCCAGTCAAGTTAACCATAAAAGTAACCATCACACCTGGCATGTGGGCAAATCAAGCAGGTTCTTTTACCAGCAACATTTCACAGGGGTAGGGACACTTTTCTCTTGTTCCAGCAATCAAGACAAATAGGGTCCACCTTTTACCGAATCTCTCACTGTAATAGATACACAGTAGAGTTTAGGGGGTATAGAAGAATAATCTTTTAGTTGCTTATTAGCACTTTGCATTTATAAATCTGTGTGAATATGCACCATCTTATATAATTCTTATATTCCTCTAATGAAGCTATTCTCATTCCCACCTTATAGATTTCAAAAACTAACACTTAGAGAAGTTGAATAGTTGGGCCACGTTCACAGAGTAGTGGGAGCCATGACTGGGGACCTGGCGGCCTTGCTGCACAAACTTGACTCTCCCCCAGGCTGCTCTCTCATGCTTTTCATCCGTTCATTAGTGCTGGTAATAAGGATGAGCATCAGATGACATAATGTACATAATGCTTAGCGCAATGTCTGGTACACGATAAGATCTCAACAAACCTGCTTGTTAGTGGTTGTAGTAAGATTCAGGATACATGTCTAGTTCTTCCAGAGTAGAAGAGATTGAAAAAGTGTACATTTTAAGTAGGTGAGAAAACCAGGTCTGACCCTAGTCTTTTGCTTCCAAGGCCTCAAACCCACGTATTTCCATTGTGGCACAGATGCAAAAAGAGTATTTTTTCCCCTCTACCATCTCTAAATGGTGAGTAGATATAAAGTATCTCATGTTTGGGTTTTTTTTTTTAAAGTACTTTTTGTCACTAAGGCAAATACCTAAATCACCACATAACCCAGCGTATTCATGAGAGAGTCTTGTTTACAAAACCATTAAGGCATGAAAGAGATGGCTTTGTTAATCTTCCACAGAACACGCGTCATGAGCTACTGTCAGCCTTCCGTAGCTGGGAAATGATATTCAGGGTGCACGGTTTTGACTTGCCTTGGGTTGCTGCTAATAGGGTAAAAACCTATTAGCAGGCTTAGATTTCCTCACCCAGGGCTGCCTTAGCTCCCATACAAATCCTGAATCAGTTCTGTAGGAGGACTTATTGATTTCAGGTTGGTTAATGTGTTGGTGCAGATGGCATCTGTGAGATGGACCGAAAGAAAGCCAGGCACCAAATAGCTCTGCCTCCCATTGACCACAGCTTCATTGGTTCTTTGTTTTTTAGAGCTATTCCTCCCCAGTGACAGATGGGCCGAGGCTGAGGTCCCGCCTTCTCCACCACCACATCCCATTCTGGAACTGGGCACTGAAGATTACAGCCACAGGTACTGATAAAATGAGAGCTCATCAACGTTCCCCAGTACAGTGTTTCTAGGAAAACCCAGCAACCTGATTTTGACTCTATTTCTTTCCAGAATGGAAATCTCATAGCATCTATAATACCTTTTCAGTGAAAACTCCTCATAGCTAAAATTAGTAGTTTAGAATGTTCATATTTTGCTTCCTGGAATTTAAGATTCATCATATATTATAAAATATTTAAGAAAATTTTTGAACTTTCTTTTATCATGTTGAAAAACCAGAGAACTCAAAAGGTTCTATGGGAAGGTATAAAACAAAACTGAGAGGACATAAAGCTTAGTTGATTTTTTTTCTTTTTTCATTTGTAATTGGCAAACCCTAAAGATATTTTAAAAATAAATGTTCCAAGAAAGTTAGTGGAATCTAAAAATTAAAGCAACACCATATATAATCTAAAATATTGAAAAGAGTGCCCAATATTATATCCACTCTGTAATAGAAACCAAAAAATCAATAATTTTTAGAATCTCACAAGCATGAGAGAGAGAGATTTACTAAGTATACACACCATCTGACTAGTGGAATTCATAGATTTCGTTCTTCTGATTAGTTTTAAAAATCATTAACTTGTCCCTTTGCTATTTTCTGTATTTATTATGGCTGTTAAAAACTGTGTATTTTATTCCATTCTATGTCCCAGGATAATCCTGTGGAATTTTTTCATTTTTCTTGCAGCAATGCTGGTGTCATTCCTATTATGCTTTTTATTACAATCTGCTAAAAATAAAACACCACCAAAAGAGTATAGCTAACTCTTTTAGCTGGAAGCTTACCTATATTTAGCTATCTCTGATTCCTTCATTTTTGAAGTCCGCTATCTGACTCAAATCCAATTTCACCAACTGGGTGGATAATTACAGTAATGTTCTAGATCAGTTTTCTAGGGGTTTCTTGAAAGAAAATGTAGACATATTTAATTTTGTCCATTCATTTCCATTGCCTGCCTCAAACCTGAATCAAAAATGGCAGTTTGGTGGCCATAACAAAATGCATTTAAAAAATAATTTCATTCATTCTACTTTACTGTTTATTCTGTGTATATATGCAAAAGTGTTGGAATAATGCAAAGATGAATCAGATATAAACCCTACCCTCAAGAAGATGGTAGGCCAGTAGGTAAAACGATAACTAGCACACAAGGGACAAAGTGGTATTTACCAGAAGGTATAGAGAAAATGCTGTGGACATCCAACACAGAGGAGATGCTTCCAGATAGAGGAATCAGGGAAAATTTATGGGAAAAGTGACATTTCAACTAAACCTCAAAGTATGAATCAGAGGTGGACATGAGAAAAGCCCAGGAAGGAGGGGAATTTCAGAGAGAGGGAAGGGTAGAAGGAACAGCATGGCAGCTGGGAAAGGAAGTTGATTTGTGCAACTTGTATCATGGCTGACTGGCCAGATGCTAGAGCGCAGAGTGCAAAGATAAGGAATGCAGACTTCCTTCATTAGATGGTCAAACCTTGTGGTAGGGTTTCAGCAGTGAGCATGATAAGACCTGGGTTTTAGTTGTGCACAACAGGCATTAGGGAGATGGAGAAAGGTTAACATCCACTGGAAGCCAGAGACTCTTTGGACATTTTCTAGGGCAGTAGCAGTGAAAGGTATTAAGGATCTGTGCTGGGGAGGGTGGAGAGAATCTTTCAGATGAGAAACCTCTTCAGGTGAGAGAGGGCATCAGAGATATTGCAGAGATGGAATTATCAGGAATTAGCAATGGCCTTTTTGGCTTCTTCAGTGTCTCCACAAATTTCTTGGGGGGGTGGGGTGTGGCGGGAGGTGTTGATGACAGTCTCAGGTTGAGTGAGTTCAGTTGTGGATGGGGAAAGTCATAAACAAGGATAGGGACTGGCAAGAGAAGAGATTGGGCTGGCCAGAATGAAGAGAGGAACAGCATGGCTGGAGAGGAAGGGGCAGAGCCAAAGACATTTTTGAGATGGAAGGAACAAATGTAAAGCTTTGAAACTCTTCCCCCTGGGATCTCGTGACCTGCACCATCCTGCAAGCTGCTGCATTGCCTAGGTGACCGGCAGCAGCGAGGCAGTGGG